ATATATATATATATATATATATATATATATATATATATATATATAATTTAATAGATGATAATATGATATTAATTAAATGAAAGTTGTAATACTCTTTTAAATCTATTTAAACTATACTATTTGTTTTTATATAATAAAAATATAGCATGTTTATTAGAGTTAAATAATCATTCGTTCATATATTATATATTGTATTTTAAAAAATTTGTAACAAATCCTGTCTACAGGCTATTATGATTACGCGTTGACATGGTCTTAAAGTTACATTACATTAATTGGTGTTGAATAATCGTGGAAAGGTGACACATTAGGACAGTGAAGATATATAATTAGTATGATGAATATAATGAAAATAAAATTTAATACCTATTACCGTTCCTTACTTTCCGAGTCAGAAAAAAGATAAATAGTGTCTGAACTTTTGGACTTAAATCTCATCCTTCAAAAACGATACTTTAACACACTAATAAAAATACCACTGTACAACTATCTAAAATATATGTTGGTATTTTAAATTAATAGTACCCTGTTTCAATAATTTTAGTTATTTTTAAAATGAATGAAATAATTTTAAATCGCATTTTCATTCCTAATTAAAATTTAAGGAAAACAAAAAACAACTAAATTGATTGAAATTCTGCTTTATTTAATATTTTCCTATCAGTCAATCCAAATAAAGCAGATAGTAATACTGATATCAGTACATAGCGTTCTGGTACTGGGTAATGAACGAGAGGGTTCAAAAAATAGATGTACTAATTAATAAAATTAAATCTAACTCAATCGCATTAAATCGTTTTGTTTTGCAATCATAAATAAATAAATAAATATAAATATATATATATATATATATATATATATATTTGTTTTTAAAATTAACTTATCCAATAGATACGAGAGTTCCAATCGTAAGTTGATTTATTCAAGGTAAGATTTATAAGAAAAAATGTTCTGAATATATTTTTATGGATGACCTATACTTCCATTGGATGCAGATTAAGTTTAAATAATACCATGTTAGTTGATTCAGTGGCTTTGGAAACGACTTTGTGAAAATCAATGACATGTACATGATACACGTGTTTCAGATTACACAGCTGATTCACAAGTCCATGTACAAGTTTAACTGTTTCTGTAGGACTATTTTTCATTCTCTGTAAATATCAAATGCATATGTTCAGCTTGTGTCACTATGAAAATCCTAACTTTATAAATGAATTTCTCAAGCAGCAGTATGTAAGAGAAGTTTCAAGGATGATTCTGTTATGTGGTAACGTATTATGTACATACTTTTCTAGACAAATTGAATAAACAAGATATCATCAAGATGAAGGTATTTTGATTTGAGGTGGGACAAAACGAATGGACGGATACAAGAAATAATATAGCCAAAAATCACGGTTCTGTGCTTGTGGGTGACTAAGCAAAACAACGGCACCTATTTGTATTGACTGGCCATCTATGACTAGGTTTAGAAACGGTTAAACTCATCTAATCAATCTCAAACACTGATAAAGTAAAAGGCTAGTGGAACCTTCAAATTTTAGTAGTGAAGTATATTTGAATTTACCAAATTTTGTTCCAGCGCTATCTGGTATATCAGTGACCCACCGACTTTTGAAAACAGGGCTTAAACTTTTGAATGTGGTGGAAAAAAAGGATGAGGATGCTCTGGGGTTCAATTTTCAACTGCATAACTGACAGAATATTTTCTTTTCTAACACTGTTGTAAGATAAGGTTTCCCAAGAGAGATGCCTCTTGAATGCTGAAAAAGATATAATAAAGAAGGTCAATACCCTTACACTTATAAAATCGTAGTGGGACACTAGATTTTGACGTAGTGTGGCTCTTTGATATTGCTATGTCTAATTTTGGGGGCCAGTTGGTGGGGGTTCTTAGACCATTGTTGAAAGTTACAATGAACATCAGCATTTTAAACACTTGAGTTATAGTACTTCTTAGTCTCCTCTTGTTACGTGGTGTCTCCTGGCCATTAGGGTATAATAGATAGAGACATACACTATCAGACACATGACCATGTCAAATTCAGACCTTGCTGTGTTTGGTATAAACTGGTGTTCCATGCCTGCTGTGCTTCCACGAAACCGGTTCCTCAGTGTTCCTAACTATTTTACAAACCAATTAATCATGAACATGTTAACTGCTTTAATTAGCCCCGATCAGTAAAAGGTGTCTTGGAACAGTGGAGACAAGCTTAAGGAGGCTTGATCAATTTCTAATATTCCTGTCTTAGAAGTTATTGGAGTTATTGTGGCTATTGCTTCATATGAAAATATAAACCTTATAGATTATGTAGTTTTCATGAATTTTAATTAATAAAATTAAAATGATCATGTAGCTCTTCGAAGATTTGAAGAAACAAGATACTAACAAGAAAGTTCATCACAATGATGTATGCTTGTCCTTTCCACTTTATAAAAACAATTTTTTTAATCTTTTTCATTTTCAGGTTATTTGAAGAGTCCTAGGACCCTTGAGAGGTTGGTGGAATAAATGAGGCTCAAAGTGATGAAGATTCTCTAAGTAAACCTGTTAGAAGGGGAAAAATCTGGACATTTACTTTTACACCGAATATAATTTTGTTAATGATCTAAGAAAAAAAAATAATTGTATTTTCAGTATAAGTTAACCTTTGTACTTTTCAAAAATAATTTTGTCTTTAAAGAATTTAGTTTAATTAATGTAGTAATGTTATTTTTGTGTAAACAAGGTTCTTCAGTGCTGTATTTCTGTGATCTCCCTTTGTAGATAAAAAAACTGTGATGAAAAAAAACCGCAAACCTAATTGAAAGAAGCCCCCCCGTCCATCCCCTCTACTAAACATTACCCCTTCTTCATAATGAATGAACTATTTCAGAGTTTAAACAAGTAAAAATTCTTAAATATACATGGTGCTTACCTACAATATGAGTCCTTAATCTTACTAAACACTAACGTGATCACTTACATATAAGTTCGTTATCACTTAAAATAAAATATAAAAAATCAACAAAATGTTGAAAACAAACACTAAAATTTTTATATGGAGGACCCAAAATATTATTGCCGACCAAAAAGAAAAACGTAAACAGAAATGAGGACCAAATTTTTTTTAAAGAATTTTTAAAGAAAATATACATCAAATACCATCCAATTCATAGGTGGTTTTATTACTGAACTGAACAGTAATTAACCTGGCTTTATGAACAATGTTAAGAAAAATTAGAAAAAACGGAAGAAAAGTTAAAAAAAAAAACTTAACAACTTGCTGTTATCGGAATCATTCGTTAACTTTCATTGCAATTCAGAGATTGGAAGGAACGGCGGGCAGAACTCCCAGTATTCTTGCCTCGAACTCCTAAAATGGGGGCATAGGACTCTCTTTCAGCTAACTCCTGGTTGAACATGTCAGAATGCTAATCATCCAATCTAAAGTTTTAGCTGGGGAATTCATGTGAATTAACATAACCTTTTACGGGTTAAAAGCACTAACTTGGGATGGGCTCCACCAGATTAAAGTAAAATCCTCAACTTTTACAATGTCCTAATTGCTTTTGAATTTCAAACATATATGCATTTGCTGTTCACTACTGTTTAATATAGGGTATGCAACCCACAGGTCACGCTATGGAATCAAACGAGATTAATACATAGATAAGATATTTTTTTATAAATAACTACTAAAATAATATAATACTAATAATTTTATTTCAATCTGTTATAGAACCATTCTCAAATTTTAACCAAAGAAAAAAAAAATCATAAAAGCACTCTTGTAAATTAACTTTGGAAAGACTGCCCAAATATAACAGTATGACTTCTAAAGCCCAGGAGCGTAACAGGAGATGTTTCATGCAAATTGCAAAACTTTAATGAATGACTAATTTCCCAGGCAAACTCTAAGTAACCATATTCGAAGAGTCTCACCAATTGTGAATTAGATCCTTTTAGAGATGACAAATAACTACATGTTCATGAGAATTGTCTGAATTTATCCAGATTTTAATAGAAAATGTGCACTATTTTAACATTCAATTCTTCATAATGCCATGTTTTCTTTATTGTGATTTTTATCTTTCATAAAAAAAATTATTTAATTTATATTACGAAGACACAGATGAGTACTAACTTTTACTTTGAAAACCAGGACAAGTTTAGTCAAATTTGTACATTTCCCCCATTCTCCATCTTGTTGCTTAAAGTTTCTAAATGGGTTGATTTGGTCACCTTACGATACATGCAAGCAAAATCATCTTCACATCAACTCACCATATGCTATTACAGCACCAACTAACTGATGCCATGCCGACACAAATTAACGGAGATGCCGGATAACTGGTCAAAATTGGGAGCCAATCAGATCTAAGGGTCCAATAACTTTCTAACTCTAGAAACGAAGTTGAAGAGCGGGTAAAGTATAGAAGGCAATAGATAGAATAAGTAAAGCATTACTATTCTTTTGATGATTGGACAGACAGGAATTAAATTAACAAAAACTAAGAAATAATTTTTCAATATCCCTTTGTGCAGCACTTACCCTTCTCTGGCTGGGTGATATTTCTCTATATCCATACCAAGTACAGCTGCATGCATTAGTGCAAACAATCCGTTAGAATTCCAGCAGCAACAACCTCAAAAAGGCCCATCAAAAAAAGACCTCTGAGGGGAAAACCTGCAGTGCTTAGGGCTAGCGCAATTCCCTCCATATTGCAAGAAAACATAAAGCTTGCCACTTTTTAACCATCCAAAGCTTTTTGAGGCAACTTTTGCAGCTGTCATACAACAGTGAGAGCTGCAATGCTTTTGGTGAGTCAGGTTTTCTCCTGTTTTCTTAAAAGTAACTCAGATTTGACCTTCACTTTGCTCTACAGCATACTAGGACTTCAAAGAGATGCTACACACAGACATTTAATAAGCCTGAAGAAAGCAAACAAATTGTATTTTCTAATACTATGGAACTCTACTGGGGATATTTAGTAATCTGGATTCAAACTATTATCTTGAAGCAAATAATTTCACTCTAATCTCTAAGTTTTGTAATAGGAGTTGATAAATAGCCTCCCCATGGCATCAGTCAAATGTATGAATTTAGATCAGATACAAAAATGAGAGATATTCAGATAATAAGGGAGGAGCTGGAGTTATTAAATCCGCAATTGATGCAGAATTCTGTGTAACAAACTTAAGACCTAATTGATTTTCTTTTCATTTTTCAGTTTTAAAAACTATTTTCTAAAAAATATTTCACACTACTAACACTCATCTTCTCATCCAAAGTTCTAGTTATGTTACGAAATTGTTTTAAAAAAAGGTGTTTGAGAAAACTAAAAATACAGACAGAAAAATGCAAGATTTCCCATCTTTTCTTTGCATTTGTTCAACATCTTGCTCAATTTCAAGGTGATGCTCCGTGCCTTTGCAACACCCGCCACCAGGTATTTGAGCAACTCGCCTAGTTACATTTTGAAAACTTTCGGAAATGGAAATCAATAACACCCTATGCAATTTCAAGGAGTTACAGCAAGTGCACGACTTCCATGGTGAGCTTTACACAAACTGACATGTTATTTACAACGAAAAATGAAGAGAGGGCTCTTCCTTTCTTTGGGGAAACTAGCCAAAGGTTAATTAGGTGTGAAGAAATAATCAAAGCATCTTCTTCTCGTTTCCAATTCAATACCCTACCTTCTTGCTCATCCGGGGAGAGTAGTCTGTATCCGGAGGAAAAATCAGAGAAACATGAATATTATCAGCTATAACCTCTTGTTGCAATGCTTCTGCTAAACCACGGAGACCAAATTTACTCGCTGAGTAAGCTACGTAGCCATAAATGCCCGCCTAAACATAAAAACAAATTCCACATCAAAATAAATAAAATAAAGTTTAATTACTTATTTAGTCGTTATACCTGTTAAAAGTTTATGTCTTAGGCTATGTTTGGTTTTCAGTTGGGAATGTTTCAAACTGAGTTTAGAAAGTAAAAGTTCTGTGACATGTATTGTTGCTCTGATAAGCACATTTGCACATTAAAATTTTGTCTGCAAACTTAGTCTTAAGAAGTAAGACCACAATTGCTCTTGTAAACATTAATCAAAAAGTTGCACTTAGTCCATGCACTTAGTCCTTGCACCTAGAAAATACTCATTTCAGTATTTGTTCATACACTGCTTAACTCGTTTTAGTTCCAACAGATAATTTTTTTATTAGTTTAATCTGGACAATTTTTAGTGTCAGCAAAGCCTAAATCGAATTAAAAGGTGTATACACTAGGACTATAATTATTACTTCATAGTTATACAAACTAAAACCTATAAAATGCAGATATATACAATACAACCAAATAAGTAATTCACATGTATAAACCCAGCAATAGTAATTCACATAATAGATTATCAGATCATAAATAACAGAGGGCGAAAAGAGGTGCAGGTTTACCTGACCGGCCTGTGAGGAAACAAGGGCAATGGAAGCGGGCAGCGGGTCCTTCCGGTTTTTCATCGCGGGAAGCGCGGCCTTGATGAGGTTCAACGTTCCCATGAGATTGACGTCCATGGTGAACTTTATCTCACTCAATTCCATCTTCTCCAACTCCAGCGCTACGAACACGCCGTGGTTCAGCAACAGCAAGTCGATTGGCCCTGCCTCGTCCACCGCGCGCTTCACCGCCTCGAAGTCCCGCACGTCTGCCGCGAATACCGCCACCTCGATCCCAGTCGCCAGCCGGATCGCATTTCGCGCCTCCTCCAGCTTCCCCAACGACCGCGCCAATATCGACACACGCGCGCCCTCCGCCGCCGCGCGGTGTGCCAGAGCCAGCCCGATGCCGCTGGATCCGCCCGTGATAAACACGTGCCGATTCTTGAGAGGGATCTTCACCGGTCGCGGTTTAACCAGGAAATAGAGCACGACCAGAAGAAGCAGAGGAAGGAGAAAGAAAAGAAAGAAAAGAAAGAAGTATGCGTCCGCCATTGATCATGAGCCTTCGAAACTATACCCACTGGGAGCAAAAGTCTATGCGACTATGAAAATGGATACCATTTTTATTTTATTTTAGTACCGAGAGTAAGTAAGAGTATGTGCTTCCATCAATTAGGGAAATTATTTTATTCTATCAAAATCATATATATGGAAGGAAAATTAGGAAGTAATCAAATATTATATTTGTTGATATATTAACTTTTTCTCCTAGTTGAGTACCATTAACTTTTAGGTGGTTTGATTTTTTATTTCCTTTTTTCTTATTTGTATGTTTTTACTCTCTTTAGTATCATTTTTATTCAATAAATATTTATATGATATTTATAAAAGGTATTTCAATATCAAGTTTAAAAAGTATAGTTACTCAGTTAACTACATTATTTATACTCTTTATTTATATAAATTGTAATGACTTTTTGTTTATTGATCTAATTATGTTCCAATCATCCCTTCCTTAAAATTATTAGGTTGATTTACGTTAATTTATATAAGTATTCTTAACCATGTTATTTGTGTATTCAACCAGTTATTATGCTAACCGATCGACCATGTTAAGGATTTGAAAGAGAGACACCAAGGTCTTTTTTCATTATCCAAAGTGTCAACCAAATTGGGTCAATCAGTCAAAATTGGAGTTGAATCGATCGATAGAGACTACCTAGTCAGGTACTTATTATACATAGGCCCCCAAACCCAAGTAGTAGAAGACTAATTATGATGGGATTAATGTCGTTTGGAATTGATTTGGTAGTTTTGCTTAGTGCTCATGGTTGTTGACCAGGCAAATTTGAAAATATGACTTTTGAAGCTTGTGGAGTTGTGACGCCTCGAACCGAAAGCTGCTAATTCTGATATTAAATGCAAAAGCCATTGGATATGTCTTGATCGGATAGGCAAAGGACGTGATTATTGACATTCCCTTCCTATAAATAGGCTTGTCATTTTCACCTTCATTCTCATGGAGCTCTGCACATACAGATTGACTTATATCTTTAAAGTAATAATGTCTACATTCACCATTTCTTCTTCTTCAGAGGGGTCCCCTAGTCAAGACGATCAGGGATATGTCGATGATGTTTCGTCATCATCGCCACTTAGGTCGTCTCTAGAAAACATGGTCAACCGAGCAAAACTTCATTAATCAACACCATCACTACTAATGTCAATAAAGAAGTTGAAAATAAGGAACATGCACAAAAAGGGCCTATCCGAAGCACCATCAGTAGGGTTGAAGTAGATGCGTCAACAGAAGGGGATGAACTGACCATGCCAAAAGTTTTGGGTTATGATTGGGTCTCTCATGATGTTTGCAAACATTGCACGTGATACCGATGCAACAACGACTTTGTGGCCTTGGCCGAGCAAGTATATATATACTTGGAGATAAAATTGATGACTATGTCATAAATCTTCAGGTTTGCAAAGAGAACGAACGAGTATGTCATGGTCGGGGAGATTCGAAGCTCGACTTCTTTTTTGTATATGCTTGCTATTTTACCAACTTGTTTGTATGAATTTCGTTTGACGACTTCCAAATTAAGATATCACGGGCATTGAAACAAAAAAATGTTTGGGTGGCCATTCAAGCTTTCAAGCCTATGTCCAAATGCCTAGGTGGCCATTCAAGCCTTTAGAGTAGTATGTAAGACACTTAACCTAATGATAATGTTAATTCTTACCATTATTTGAGCCTCGTTTCTTTGACAAAACTAGCTCCTCTATTACTTATTACTTGCTTAAATCCTCATTTTTATCTTTCTTTGTAAATACTCGTATTTTGGGCTACACTTATTTAATTGTAACTATAATCCCTTCTTTTTTATTCTATTTTGGTGTTAGGAAGATCTTCTGCCCTTTCAAAGAACCTTGGTAACATAGAGAAACAAAAAGATGAGTAAAAAATGGGAGTTTTCAAAGCCTAGGTGGCGTTGAGCGAACACTTGACAGCGAGCAACCAAAGGCCTCAATGCTGAGCACCCTTCACCATTACTAAGCGCCACAATTTCATGAAGCATCTAGGGTAGCCTTAAAGGCCAACGTTGAGCGGCAGAGCTTTGGTGTTAAGCGAGACCTTTGTTGATGTGTCAAAATGATGAGCTTATTTAACGATTGCAATAGAATGTTGATTATCTTCTCCTTCCTCACTAAAAGGCTTAGAAGGACATGAAAGACTTGAATAAAAAATACAAGTCTCTTGTCGACGAGTTCGAAAAGACCAAGTGACAATACATGTGATGTTGTAACATGAGACAAACTTCCAAAAGACTATTGATTAGGCTGTTAATTTTTACAATATAAAATTAAATTAATTAAATCAAACATAAAAATTTAAATTTGATTATATATATATATATATATATATATATATATATATATATATATTATAAATTAAATATGACAAATTGTTTGAGAAATTAAGACATTGTTTGTCAATCATGAAAGCATCTACCCGCAGCACTCTTTTTTGAAGTTGACCTAATGTAGTTGTTGAGATAAGTAGCTAGCATCGGTCACTGCTGAAACAAAAGGATAAAATCCGATGACTAGTTCTTGCAATTGGTATATTCATTTGCCTTTGTAATGCAAAAAATATATTCCACGAATCTATACAGTACAAATAAAATGCTATATGTATATGCTTGACATGTGTATTGCTAGTTTTGTGTATGAGAAGTTTCATGTTTCATGAACAATGCGTAGAGTAGCTCATTCCAAGCATCTGGTACACCAGGGAGACACCAGTGGCTGCAATCTTGGCGATGGAGAGGTGTTGGGTCTGCATTTGGGTCCAGATAATATATGGATGAATGACCATCTTTTCTCTGAGCCGTCATCTGAGTTACATTCAATATCTTGAACTTCAAAACTTCACTGGTATATGTATGTGCTAATAGCACAGAATTGGCTATTTTGAATTGCGACCAGTTATCCTTAGGCACCAACGAGGAGCCATGCTCTGGTAGTGTTTCCAAATGACAGCTTCCACCTTTTCTCCAATCACCACCTCTGCATCATACGTATTACAGAAATTTAGTTTCCAAGAACTAAACATATTCAGATATTTGAAACCAATTTACATACCTGAAATGCACAGGGGCATAAGTGCGAAAGAAAACTTGAGTCTTCCTAGCATTTACTGAATTTTGTATCCAGTTCAACACTGTTTCAATGGACTTCTTATACGCTTCTTCTACCTTCATTTCCAACTTCACTTCCAACCCTTCTTGGAAATAACAGCCCCTGGAGAATTACAGAAAAAACGAATCAATCATGTCATAGGTGGTCATATTGAAATGATAAAAATCATGTCGGAATGAGTTACCCTTTTATGGTTTTCTCATAATTCCACCAGTGCCCTGTGTTAAGAACCAAAACATCTGCATCTCTCCATTTCGAAGAGTACCAATCCATCTGATCCAACTTCAGGGTTGTTCTAATCTTTTCATTAGTTTTAGGAGGAGGCCGGCTTTGCAATACAAGAAATGGAGCTCTGTAGTATTCCACTGTACAGTTATAATCCTTGAATCTAAACACCAAGAACCCCTTGTGCTTTGTAATTGGGCTACCATTCACTTCGTAGATTGAATCCTTGTTAGGAACACCAGCAGAGAGCATGCATAATAGTGACTCCCATTGGTTTCTCCCAATTGAGTCCCCAGCAAATACCAGGCGCTTGTTTCGCAGTTTTTCTAACATGGTTGTTGCATTCAATCTGTGTTTATTAACGAGAAGTTCAATGTTCTTAGTTCAGAGCAAGAATATATTACAACCTAAAATAAATTAAAATGCCACTGATGCAACTAATATAGGAAGGATCGAAGGGTTGCTGTTTAATCCAACCGAAAGAAGAGCCAGGGTGTTCATCTAACCTGTTATATTGTTATATAAAATGTGATTATTGACTTTTATAATATTTTTATAAAAATTACCCAAGTCAAGATAATATATTTATATTTTTTTAAACAACTATTAGTCGTTAATACATTAATTTTTGTGAACAAAAATTTCAATTTGCTCTATTTTTTTTACCACTAAATCCGTTTATGGAAATATCTCTCCTTATAACACAATACAAGAAAAAATTCGTTGCTACACAATAGTTGCGTCACTCTTAAAAGACGCGGATAAGAATAGCGTAATACTACTAAATCAGAATACAGTGACTCGAGATTAGTCTTGCACCACTAGCTAACACTAACATGATCAAAATTGGAAAAGTCACACATTATCTTTTCATTTTTTTTTAGAAAAAAAAGGAAAAATTCTTCAGAGTTTCTAATACTGAAAACTGGACATTGACTGCATTGAATGGAAATTGAAATAACATTTCTCAGCAGCAAAACGGTGCTCAAAACAATGAATGACGGAGGGTTTGTTGTAGTTCGTGATTGGTGTTTTTTTTTTAATGGTTTTTCAAGGCAAAAATGAGAAATATAAGGACAAGAAGAGTAGCATATAAGTGTACCTGGGCAAGTTGCAAGTTTTGGGTTGCCACCTCCACTTTGTATAAAACAAATCAGGTCTTCCATTCTCCGAACACCGAAATCCCCGATCAAGGAAGCTACAATCTTTTGACTCATACAAAGGGTAACTTTCATCCCAAACCCAGTTACCCTCAAACAAATCACACCCACCACCCTTTTCTCCAAGAAACTCAACTCTATGCGCACGTCCCTCTACTGAACCACTTTTCTGGTGCGACCAAGTAACCCTCTCAGATTGACCCGAGAACCCGAACCTTCCAGCGAGTTCCTTATAATCCAAGTAGAAGAAGCTCCATACAACAAAGGCAGATACCAGAGAAAACCCAGCAACACTAACCGACGGTTCAAACAACCTTAAACGTTTCACCCTCCTTAAAGTTTCCAACTCCGGCATGGCTTCCACGTATTGCTGTGGGGTCCTCTTAGAAGACATCAAATTGAGTATAGACAGAGGAAATTCAAATTCTGAAATTCTAGAATTTGGGTGAGTGGTGTTCCTGTAATAACGGTTGAACTTGTGAAGACTGATGAGAAAAGACAGAGAAAGATGACAACTTTGTAAACTCTGAAGGGTGGCATGCAAGGAATTTTCATTGGCCCCTTCGCTAAGCCTTACTTGATGGGTGAGTTTCAGAATATATGGCGCGTGAATGCAGAGCCAAAAGAGAAAAAAATCAATATTTATGGTTGATCAAGAAGTAGTCTTCAATCACAGTTTGACTAAAAAGTTTATCACCTTTGTTAACTATATTTGTTTATGGGTCAGTTTTGAATATATCATTCATTATTTGTTACAGTAATAATAAAATTCTGCTGACTGATATACTATGGATTGTGTGTTTCAATTATTTTCTTTGGCTATTTCGTGTGAAGATGATTTGTTTTCAAATGGAAAAATCAGGAATTTGATTTAAAACTGAAAAAAAGATGAGTCTAATATTTAGAAGAAGATGGAGGAAGTGAGTAACGGTTAGAGAGACGTGCACCGCGTTGTTTGAAGAGAGTGGGGGAATTGGACTTTGGATTGGAACGTGCTTTCATGCGCCGAAGTGTGGAGCGTGGGTCAATGGCTTCATTTTATATATGATACGGACACCGCCACGCCGGTTTTTTAAGGATGCAAGTCATTGCCGTTAATACAATATATTAATAATTTTATTTTGTAACGATTATAAATAGTCGTTTATTGAGTTTTAATAACTATGTGATATAAATATAAAAAACATGGTTCATTAATGAATTTTAATCACTGAAATATATGCAATGAATAATTTATACTTTAGTGATTAAGTGATGTAATATTCTATTTTAATAATATACAACCACTAAAAAAAAGTTATATAAAAAAAGTTATATAAAAAAAATGAAAATAAAAAAATATTTTAAAAAATAATATATACATAAAGCTATTATAATTATCTTATACATAACTATAAAATCAAAATATATATATATATATATATATATATATATATATATATAAAGATTTTATACTTTTAAGGATTCTATTATTTTATGTATAAACAAAATACATTCTAATATTAATAAAACATAAAATGAAATTATCTACTTTTAAGTTTTACACCGCATACACTAAACTACTTCGAACACTTTTATTTACTTCCACAATTTAGGTGATCATTACAAACAAAAAAACACAAACAGACAAATATCACTTAGGAGGTCTCCAATCTTCAAATAGACAAGAGAACTCCTAGAGAGAAGTAAAAAAAGTCTAGAAAAGTTATTTTTAGAGAAATTATGTGTTTTAAAATTATAAAACTCGTTGATAACATAACTATTTATATTAAAACCTTTTAATATTAAAATAATTAAGTCTTACTATTTTTAAACCATTATCATTTTTACAATATTATTTTCTAGGTCTTTATAAGTTGACTTTCTTAATACTTCCTCTTATGCATTTTGTGTAGTTTAAGCTTTTTATTTTCTCTTTTTTAAGTACAATAATTATAATTATATTTTAATATTGTTTTAACTAAATACTCACAGTAATCTTAATTCTTTGATTGTTAACCATGAATCAATTAGGACAAATTAGGAAAAAGAAAATGTTATTCAATAAATAATTATTGATGTTTTGCAAGCTACAAATGGGTGCTTTCATCACTCCTAACCCTGGATTGATTTTTGAGGAATCTGAAGGAGTTTTTGGAGATTCGGGTTATGCCATTTTTGTCTAATTAGAGGTTGTAAAAATCAATGGCTTCTACCGTTGTTCTTTCTTCTAATAATTCTCAGGCGCAGTCACATTCCTCAACTCTGGGACTTTCTCAAGAGCAAATTCATGGTCTATTGGCACTTCTTCTTCAATCTAATCCCACAGTCACGCATTCTATTGGTCTAGTGAGTTCTCATAATGTTTCCACTTCTTCTCAGGATCAAGGTAATATCTATTCCCAATGGATTTTAGACACAAGTGCTACTGATCATATATCCAGTTCTTTGTCTCATTTTATTTCTTATCATAGAATCTCACTAATTACAGTATCTCTACCCAATAAGAACTCTTCATTTGCTCATTTTTCTGGCACAGTTTCTCTTGGCCCACACCTTACTTTACATAATGTCTTGTTTGTTCCTAATTTTTCAGTCAATCTTATTTCGGTCACATAGTTAACTAAATCTCTCTGTTGTAAAATTACCATTTCTGAATTTTCATGTGAAATACAGGACAAGTCAACCCTGCAGATGATTGGGAAAGCTGAAGAAAGAGATGGCTTGTATGTCATGATAGTTCCTGCATTTGCACCCCTTGGTTCACCAACTGCTATTACTCCTGAGAATTCTATTGCTTGTTCTATAATAAGACCTAACTCTATAGATATTTGGCACTCTAGACTAGGACATCCTTCTTCTTGTTATATCAAACTACGTACCATGTATGCCACTTTACCTGATACAAAATACACTCATTGTGATACTTGTCACTATTCTAAGAAAATAAAATTGTCTTTTCAATTAAGTACTACTGTTTCAAAAGTTCCTTTTGATTTAATTCATGTTGATATTTGGGAGCCCTATTGTACCTCTTCTGTTGATGGTTTCAAATATTTTTTAACAATAGTGGATGATAGGTCTAAATTCACATGGATTAAATTGATGGCAAGTAAGTCAGATACAAGACCAAGACGATTTGTCATGTCGTCTTCTTCATATACAAGAAGGCCAACTTATACAGATTCTTCCAACTATTTTCTCTTATAGTTCTTTTTATAGTACATCCTCAACTGTACATAGTTGCATTGCAGACAGAGTGTTTCATGATCTCATCCCTCTCATTATCCTTAACAAGGAAGGGTTTTTTCCCTCTGTCTTAACATAAATGTTATCTTCAAATTCAGTTAGGTTAATGCATCCATCATGTGAAACTTCATATTCCAAAGTTGATATGTCCATATCGAATATATTAAATTTTGTAGTCTCCATTTGTTTTATGCAAGTTTGTCCACAAAACGCTCTAGTTCACAGTCACTTCTAACACTCCATAATCCAGAACCTTTTTCCATAGTCAACAAGTGCATAACACCACTATCATTCCCATAAATGCTTCCGCTTCATCGTATCATTAGTTCCATGGGTTTGATTGAAAATAGTTGGGAGGAATCTTCTGTTATGTGTCAGAAAAGGATAACTTAGGGTCGTGAAATCAGGGAGGAAGATTTGATAAAATGGTACAATTTTGTGAATCAATCCGTTTAGGAATTCTTTAAGTGATTTAAACAGTAGATGTGCAGTCTAATTTGTCCTGCCAGTAACTTCGCTTCACTAATGGAACCGTTAATTAAGGAGCTAAAATATATATTCAAGGATCAAAGATAAACAATATGCCATTTTGAGTACAAAATTGTTTACTAACTCTAATTATATGTCAATAGTCTCAAAATGGATGACTAAAGGACAACAAATATGCAATTTGAAGAAAGGCCTAAATAGTGCCTTAATAATTTCCAACTATTATTAGAAATTGATTTGCATTGAAAATATTCCAAATCAATTTCGAGAAATCATGGAGGAAAAGTTCACACTATTGATTTTTGAAAGGCAAAGAAATTGTAATTAATCATGAAATTGATTAAAGCACAAGAAGTTGAAATAAATCATCCAACCAGTACAAAGCCATAAATTTGTTGTAGGGTCATCATTGTGAAAGGGGATTGTGAATTGAACCCAACAAAACCATCCAAATTACTAAACATTCCAAGCAAAAAGCCTGAAAGCTATAACATTGAAAACAATCATACATTACTAATTCTCCTGTTCTTAACAATAAAAATACTGCAAGCCAACAATGTTGACAATAACAAGCACTCCTTACTTGTAGGCTTCTCTGATATCCCCTCCATCATCATTTACTCAATTAAGCTAGATTCCTAGACACACATTTGGATTCAATATCCAAACTGATATTGAAAAGCAGAAACCAAACTTCATTTTCTTTAACCATTTCCACGCTTGTAATTGTGCATCATAATTCACACTTATGTTAATTACTAATTTATTCAAAATTAACGTCATTAGAGTTTACTAGTTAATCTATAACAATGGTATCCACAAATTGGGTCGCTATGCAATAAATTTTCAAGGTTTCTCAGACAAAATTGACACAAAATCATCATAAGAATATGCAATGTTTTAAATTACTATCATGCTCAGAAGGTAAAGTCCTATTATGCTTATGTTTGAGAATAAATAAAATTAAAAAAAGTCTAATTCTCTCTTTCTCTCTCTCTCATTCTTTCTAAGCTCAAACTATCCAGTGTCATCAACATTAACCAAAGAATGACAGGAAGGAAATGCATATTCATTTAGGTACAGAAGGAGATACTGATCTTATACTGATGGAGATGCGGTTATAGATGGTTGGAATCATTTATTCGTTTCTTCCATTAGCTCTTGATTTGGCTTCTGTGCGCTAGAAGTATGTCATCCACAATCCACACAGAGGATTGCCAATGCACAATACTATCATAGATCAAACAAACCACATTAGTCTTACAGCATTATCATGTATTGTGTCATTCTTCCTTTGACATCATAAGTTGTGCAGCACTTTCTTAGATCAATGTGTGCTGAATTTGCTGAGAAAAAAAATATAAAATACTGGTGCAAACAATGCAGCCTGAATTTAACTGTAGCCTGTGGCATACTCAGTTTGTGTTTTTGGGGTTTGATTATCCTCAATAACGTTTGATCTATACTTTGTGCTCATGAAGAATGTATGGACAAAGATTTCCTAGGAGTCTGAAATAGAACACACAGGCAAATAGCTACTGCATGCATAGTCCCTAACTCCCCATCAAGTAACATCTTCTAAAGGCTAAATTCAATTTGTATCATTATCTAAGATAAATAACAAGAAAAAGAGGAGAAAAAACACTGTTATCGGGGTAATTGGGGTATTGAGAACACATATTATTGCCAATTCCAGACACATATAACAATCCAAGATGATAATATCACATCACTAAACAGGGCTCAAGCCAGATAGATGATATTATATAAAGAAATAAAATAGAGACATAAAGTTTAACAAAACAAAACTAACTAGGTAATTAGTTACCATCACACAACTGGGACAACATAATTTGCCTCCTTTTCTCCTAATCCAAACAGAGTGTGGTTACGATGGGCGTTCTGGGAAAGCTGAAGACGATTCTTCCTGAGAAGAATCAGATTGGTAGAGTGCGTTCTGTTTCTGAGCTTTCTCGAGATAAGGCTTGAAACCAATTTGTATGCTCAAGTAGCCGAATGCAAGCGTTCCCAACACCACTATCCCTGACCTAATAGCGTTCATCTTCATGTCTGACACTGATTTTGGACCCATGTTTCTCCGGGTTTAGTCAAGACACAACACAACACTCCTTCGATAAAAGGAAATAAATACCTATGGCGAAAACGGTGCCAATGACATGTCGTTTTTTTTAAAATCTTCCAAATTGGGAACTTCCAAATAGAACTATCCTAACGCCAAACCTAGGAACCAACAAAATGTAAAAGAGAACAACTTTCTCACTGTTATTGAATTCTCAGCTAAACTATAAAGGAGCTGAATCTGAGACAGTGGATTTGAACTTTGAAGCCTCTGGGTTTTTCTGTCCAGTATAAAGGTATAAAGATATGAATAAGATAATATTTTTATCGGATATGACATTCATGTTTCTGTTCATTCCTTTCAATTTAATTAGAACAATAAATATATTAACAAAGCTATTTTTTTTAGCTAAATTACTCTTAGTATTTTTATTTAATTGAATCAATTTCATATTTTATCAACAAAAAATAAATTTATAATATCGCCTCCTAGTTTTAATATTATCTTTTTGGTCATTTAATTATAGGTTTTTGTCTCACATGGTTGTCCATGGCAATGAAATAATTAGAATTTTTTGATTTCTCGTGGTAGTGAAGTAATTAAGATTTTTTAGTTTCGAATAACAGTGAAGCAATTAAGGTTGTTTTGGTTTCCCAGTGAATCAATTAGGGTTTTTTGATTTCTCATTATAGTGAAGTAATTAGGATTTTCTGGTTTTTCATGTCTATGAAACAATTAGGGTTTTTTGGTTTGAGTTTTCGATTTGCAGGCTATTGTTTCGCATCGCAGTGGTTCGTGGTGGTTATGCATTGCAGGTACGTGGAAGAGATGCGATTTTGTGGTGATCTTTTCTGGTGACGCTATGAAGTGTTGAACTAGTGATTTGAGATTTTTTTGGTTTTGGAGAAGATGATAAACAATGTATGGTGAATGCAATTAGGTTTTGTCGTGGTTTGGAAAGGTTGATCTGTGGTGGTGTAAATTGACATTTTGATTTGGGATTGCTAGTTCGGGATGTGATTCGTAATTTGGGATTGCAAGTACGGGATGTGATTCGCAATTTTGGATGTTTGCCATATTGTTGTTTTGGTGTCTTTTACGATTTGAGATTTTCTGTTGCATGTCATGATTTTGAACAATGGTGGTTTGTGATGACTCTGTGCTGCTATGTGGTAGTTGACTATAATGGAAGGTACAAGGATAGCGAATCGTCGATGAAGGTAAAAGGAAATCATCGTGATCTGGTGGTGATAGGTTGAATACGATGAGGTGAAAAAAGACCATGGACAACTACGTTAGAAAAAATTGATCACATCATTCATTGAAGTTCATGTAGACACTCTACCGTTAACGAGATTATTTTCAACGCCAACAAAAAGTCAATAACTATTTTAAACAAAAATTATGGAAATAAGGAACAACATATATATTAAATCTTTTTTCTATACGCGATTGTTACCAGTGAAATGTGATCACTTAGCTACTAAATAATAACATTCATGACTTTAAGAGATTAAGTAACTAAATATTTATTCCCCTTTACTGGCTTATTTGTTTTCTGAAACACTTTGAATTTTTATTTATTTATCTGTATTTATAAAAAAAATTGGTATAGGAATTCTGTGATTTCAGTTGGATCAATCGAAAAGAGTTTGGGTTTTGAGTTTTTGAGATATTACAGGTTAAAGGTTTTGGAGGTTTACATAATCTTCTGGCTTGGATTGAGAATGGTGAGTCTTGTTTGTTCAAAGTTCATGAAAAGGCAACATGTCATGAATTGTCGATTATCCTTTTTGGGCTGTACAAATACTAACATGCTGAAGTTCCGACACTTAATGGTTTGATTAATTATCATGGGCATAGTCACTGCATTTTAGTGCGTATGCTTGTGATAATTCTCACAAAAATTCTGGGCATATTCATGACATAATAGTCCTAATATATACTAACTCTGAAAGGCATACTAAAAAAACACTGTATCGAAGACAGAGTGATTTGGTTGACAATGACGCTGATTCATGACATTTACAAGTCAAATATTGTGAAAGCATCTGATAAATGATAATCCTTTGATTGGATCCTCTGCTTAAAGAAAAATCAATGGCAACACAGATAAATCTCTGATAAATATAAATATCATATTCTTCCTTCCTCTGTTTTTTTGGGTTGCTCATCCTTCTGTCACACTTCAGCAACATATTACTGATCCCAATGAAGAACATTCATATGCAATGCCATATTAAAGATATTAGAGTTCATTATACTAGCGCAAATGAACTCTACTCAATATATTTACGGAATAACGCTTTTGTGCTGTGGAAAACACAGCAACTATCTATGAAACATATACTATGGTAGAGACCAGCTATGCCCGGTCATATGGTAGCATATACTATGGTAGCATATACTGCTTCAGCTCCCTGCAATACTCGCGCATTTATAATCAATCATATTCAACATCCCAAATTAACAGTACTTAAATAAAAGCAACCTTGAAACCATCAAATTGTCAAGGATAAAAGGTTCAAACATTCAAATTCGGTTTATTTAAACTCAGTTTAAGAAACCATTAAAAAGGAAAATGAAAAGCAAAAGTCTGCTGAGCTTATTGACCATACACTGAATGCATAATTGTCTAGTTTTTCAGTGATTAACTTTTATCTGCTCAGTCATCTGAATCAGGAGAAGGGTTGTTCTCTTCTTCGGGTTTGGGCAACACTGGAGTTGGAGAAGGCTGGTCTTGCAGCTGCTGAGGATCAGTTGGATCAAGAAGGGGCACTCCCATGAGCATTGTTGGAGCACCAGACTGTGGACCTGCAGCATCATGTTGATTATGAGGTGGCACAGGACAGTTAGGAAGAATCTGAGACAGAGTCGGAGGAATGGGTGTTCCTGGTATACCTGGAAACACTTGAGGACCCCTTGTGTCTTCTCTGGGGACAATATCAACAAGAAAATCATACATGTCAGTCTTTGACATTGCAGCTGCAATGTCATTCTTACTAAGTGTCCTCCTCTTGTTCTCCTCAACATTACCCCATGCCCTCATTGTGAGCTCCATGATGAACATCTCACAAGCCTTGGCCAACAGCACAGGAGCCTCAGCTGATACCATTCTCACATCCTCATCAGACTTCATTATCCTCTTGATCCTAGCCAATGGCAAGCAGTGATTCTTGGACTCACTGGTCTCCTCAACTTCCTGACGCTGTTTTGCCCAGAACTTACTGAGTTGCTGCTCCAATGATTCTTTTGCTGTCTGTGGGTTGGATGAAGAGGCAGAGGGACCAATGGTGAGAGCTGGAGGACTGGTAGGAGGTTCCACCTTGGGTTCAGATTGAACTTTGCTCTTCCCACGTCCTTCTTTTGCTGCTTGATCATGCTTGTTTTCATCCATGTTCTTGTGCAATGGACTTCAAAATATTCTGACCACCACCGGGAAAATCGAACGTGACACATGCAACAAGAAAAAACATTTATGCATCTCAGATAAAAACTTCTAAAGATAAAAATTCACATTAGTCTAAATGATACATCTACGTAGATGGGTAAATGAAGATGGCTTCACAAGTTTTAAGTGATAAAAAGAATAGAAATTTAATAAACATTATATACATGTTGTATAGCATTAAAATTCTTACGATGCTCAGAGTAGACTTTAAGCTTAACTTAATCACACAAAACTAGTTTATAAAATGAAATTTGTACTTATTATATATTATAAATCAATCTTAGTTTTAGTCGACCTCGTGAGTTCGAACATAAAATACTACTATTTCTTATCTCATGTCTTGTCCATTTTCTATTTTAGACACGATCTATACAAACCATTACATTACCCCTAAAATTAAACTTAAGTCTTATAGTTAAAATTCAAAAATTAAATGTGTCAAATATGAAATTATATTGAAAGAATTCTTTTTCTACCATCAATCATAAGTGAAAATTGAGATTTTAGGAAAAAAACAAAAGATTGAATATATAATGTTACTCTAGGTTTGTATGAAACATGCACAAAACATTTGTAACACTAAGAAGAAGAAAAAAGATAGAATTACTAAATGAGGATATAATCTTTTAAATTTGTTATTAAGAAAAACACCAATAAGTTAATTATTATATTTAACATAAAGACAACTATATGTGCTAAATTAAATTATGTTTGATCATCAGACATATAAAAAAATAAAGAATAGAAAATAATATACCTAAAACTTGTTCTAAATAAGTTTAGAGTTTAATTACGAACCTTATACAAGAAAAGAAGAAGAGAAATAGAAGTTAAAGAAACGGATAACTAAAATTAAAACATTAATGGTTTACTTTAATGATATAATAATACTTTTTTTGACTAACTTGTCGGCTAGTATTTATGATTAATAACAAAAATATAATAAAATATATTTAATTAAATTAAAAAATTTATTATTTCTTGGAAATGAAAATCTTAATTAGAAATATGTTCAAACGATCATGTATAATTGAATACAAATTTAATCTTATAAATTGCTTTTATGTAATTATGTTGAACTTAAAAAAATATTCTAAAATGTTACAAGAGTTACCAAAAAAAATTATCAGATTTACAATGTCACTGACTATGGAATCACTCATAAATATTTGTTCTTGATGTCAAGTTTCTAACATAAAGAAATGTATTGGAAATTTTAGAATAACTAAATATTAGACAAATTATAATGTATGTGGGTCCAATCACACTTTATCATACAAGAAAAATTTGTTAAAATTAGAAGTCATTGTGTATAAAAATAATTTTATTGATAAATAAAATTAAGCAATTTCTTTTATTTTTACTTATTACAAAAAATAAATTATAATGACAAAGAATCACGAGATGAATTAAATTTTATCAAAAAGATATTAGTGGCATATTTATCACATATAATTATTCTTATAAATCTAGACATCACAAAGTATTTTAGCAAATATTTGTTTTCTCCACAACAAATAGACACAGAAAAATTACCATCGCAACTTCTAAAAATTACATAAAAAAACATAATATAAATTGACACATTTAAATTTATTTTCCTTCATTAATTGGTAAAGACGATTGTGTCAAATAATATAAAAGATTTTATCGTTCACAAATTTTGAAGAGTTTTATCGAGTACAAAATTATAAAAGATATTGTCTATAAAAAATTGTGAAGGATATTTTTCATCACAAACTACAGGAAATCTTAATTTATCTAGATTTGTAGTTTTTAAATTTGAACACTAAGAATCTAAGAAAAAAAATTAAGCTTTATCACACCTTTGGTAATAATTAAAAATATCAAATATAATGTTATTGTAGATTTGAATACAACATATACACAAAAACTTGTAAAAATAAGGAAAAAAATAAAAATCCGAAGTCAAGATCTATTAGTTTTAGTCATATAAACAACATAACTCAATCTTTAAAAATTTTATCAATCGATTGACTATATAATTTAACATAAACATAATTATGATATATTCAATTAAATCAAGTTTGAAGGCAACTAAAAGAAAAATAAAGAAAAAAGGAAGACGAAAAGATCAGAGAAAGAAAATATACCTGAAATTTTTGAAGGCAGATCTCAGTTTCTCAGAAAAAAAATCAAAGAGAAGAATTTAAAAAAAATGGATGTAGAAAGTGGTTAAATATTGATAGTTTATTTTAAAGACATAATGATATTAATTTTTTTTAATAAATGTGCCTGTTAGCATTCATTATCAATAGCAAAAAAAAATATAACAAACCGTCACTAATTTTACATTTTTATGACCATTTTATCCTTGTATCCTTTGTTAAATGAATATAAAAGTGTGTCATAGTACCATTTTTCTTAAACTTAATTGATTTTCTAAAATAATGTAAGAGTTTATCTTGTCACTATTATATATATATATGTATATATATATATATATA